TTCTCAAGAGCGATTTTTGAAGGGGACACAAATAATACAGCTAAAATTGTACTTATAAAGGATATGTGTTACGAATGAACACAAGTAGGCAACAGGCAGCGGGTCCAAATGCAGTTCAAGATCCTTTAATGATAATTCACAGAAATAAGCATCCAAAATACATAACAACTCACACCGACAATAGCAGACCAGGGCTTAATATACACAAACACAGGACCAAACAGGAAATGGAACACAGCTGAACCAGGTAGACACTAATGAAAACACAGCATGATGGGAAATGGAGTCCATGACCAGAACAGGCAGGAACACAAAACAGGAACGCCCTCTAAAGCCTCACAGTGGTGCAGGCAACCGGGCGTGACAGCTATACTGTTATCATTTCCAAACTGTCCTATAGCACCTTATATACTGAACAAGAGAGGCCATATAACCCTGTGAAAAAAAAAGCTATTTTAACATATACTTTTAAAAAGAGTACTTTAAAAGAATACACTTAAGTAGTGTTTTTGGACACTTAATCGCATGTTAATTTGAAAATGTATTATAATTTACATGCTAATTGGAATGAGCTGAACTATAGTTCTGTCATGACAACTCTCGGAGGGATTGGCATGGTAAAGTGCATGACAATGTTAATGTGTTTAGTCTTGGCGGAATAGATCTGCTACGCTGCTGCTGCTGTTGCTGCGACAGAGCAAGTACCGGGACTTGCTACTGCCAATACATCCACAACATGCTGCTGTGAGCATGTAAGAAATACTGCTGCTGCATATATAACATATATGAAATAACCCCCATATAGCATACAGGAATCACCCCGTAGCAGATCTATACAGGTGGAGCTGGGGAAGGTGGAGGGTTTCTGAAGTGCGCTGCCAACTGCTACAGCAAACAAAAGCCAGGTATTTGAATATTGAGCAGCGAGCTCATTGGCTACCGATACAGGAGAGAACCAATCAGCTGCCATGTGACAATGATGTCGCCAGGACAGATTGCGCTAGACCTATCGGGCTGCGCCATCTAGAGTTTCATGCCAGAACTCTGTATATTTCTGTTGACCCACTTAAGTAGGACTTAAGTGCATCTTTATATGTATTTGCATAATTACTCTTATTGTGTTTTTAAATATGGTTGGAGTGTGCTGCTAAATGTGATGACAAACATTTACAGTAAACTAAAATTTACTCAGATGTCTATTCTGTTAAAACTTGTGTGTCATGTATTTAAATATAATTGTTATTATGCAATTTCTGTACAGTATGTTTAAAATAGATTAACTTTAGATGTATGTTAGACAACACATCAAAATAAGTGTACTTCTTTAAAGCATGACAGAAGATTATTAAAACATTGAAAATGTGCTTTAAAGTTACCTATAATTAAGTGGGAAATTGGAACACTCAGTATGGCAGTTGTAGTAGTTTTGACTTCCAAATTAAAAAGCTAGTTACCAATCGGCGAAGTCAATGCCTGGTCTTTTCAACAGTTCTTGCTCTCAGCGTCAGTGCATCTGCTGTTAAAAGTTGCACTCAGCATTTACTCTACATTTTTAGCTTTATTGCTGATTTGAAATAGTTTATTAAAATGTGAGTTTGGCAGGCAGTTTTGTTTTTAGATTGAGATATTTTCCTATACAGTTTAATAGAAACTGTACTTGCTTGATGGAATATAGCTGTTGATTGCATTTTCAAGATGGACAGTGATTGTACTGACTTGCTTGGAAAGGTATTTTGCTATCTGTCAGAAACTTTCAAATTTGAAGTTGCATTTATCCAAATGCTTGTCTTCCAGCAAAAATGTTGCATATTGTTTTGAAACATCTCAGGTTGTCACATTTTTTTTGTTGGGAAAAGTTACCACATTTCAGTTTCATTAATGATTTTGTATATTATATTTGTGTTAAAAGGTCATTTTTTCCTAGAGATGCACTGATTGCAATTTTCTTGGCCGATTCCGATTTTTTGTTAATGTGATCTGCCGATACCGTTTTTTGCAGATTCTGATTTTCTTTCTTAGAACTATAATTGACAGCATATACAAACAAAAATCTACTTTTCTTCAACGCAAAGTTTTATTTTCATAAAAAAAACACAAGTAAAAAGTCAGTAATAAAATAAGAACAAATAAAAAAAATTGCAAACAGTGTTATTTTACATTTGATTACTTTAATTTCTGTAGTCTTCATTGTAAAAATTAAATACAGATTAATGCTTACCATTCAAGTTATAAAACGTATTCAGTCAAGAGCAGAACATTTTTTTATTTGTTTTTTGTTCTTTGATTAACATGACATACAGCAGCATAAATATTGGACTGCGGTCCCTTTAAGAGTTTATCCACGGACCCAATATACTGTTACACAACATGCGTTCTCTTTTGCCTTGTCCAAATACCCACACTTGCGGTCTTTGCACTTGACCACTTGACTAAACTTATATGACGTATTTCCTGTATTTGGCCCAAGTGTTCAAGTGAGGATGAAGACCACAAGTGTGTGTCGAACTTTTCATTACCTGATGGGACACACTTAGTGTTGTAAAAATGCAAGTGTTTACATAGCTTTATTTTTATTTTAAACACTTTGCATTTTAAAATCAACTTCTAAATGTCTGTTCGGAAGTCCCTATAACAGATGGCACAATTTAATTTGTGATACTTCTAATTAAGTGATAAAAAGCAGTTGCAAATGTTGTACAAAATAAACATTCTCATCTTTGCACCAATAAAATGTGCAACACTTTGTTTTACTACCAAATTATATGTAATATCTACTAATTATAAACTAACTTATATGACGTATTTCCTGTATTTGGCCCAAGTGTTCAAGTGAGGATGAAGACCACAAGTGTGTGTCGAACTTTTCATTACCTGATGGGACACACTTAGTGTTGTAAAAATGCAAGTGTTTACATAGCTTTATTTTTATTTTAAACACTTTGCATTTTAAAATCAACTTCTAAATGTCTGTTCGGAAGTCCCTATAACAGATGGCACAATTTAATTTGTGATACTTCTAATTAAGTGATAAAAAGCAGTTGCAAATGTTGTACAAAATAAACATTCTCATCTTTGCACCAATAAAATGTGCAACACTTTGTTTTACTACCAAATTATATGTAATATCTACTAATTATTATTAATATTTAACTTACATTGGAAAGGTTTCCTTGACCTCTTGTGAGATCTCGGCAAAAAGTCTCACGATTTATTTCCAGAACATGATGCATGATGGGATACACTAAGCCTCGAATAGCGCTCCGGAGCGGTATTTGAGATAGTGTGGATTTAGTGTGTGTTAAGGGCACTGCACTTTGGCATTTTTAAGATCTGGGACAATCTTGCGCACTTACTTCCTGTCGTGCACACGCGCTCTCAAGTGGCCAAGACCGCAAGTGTGGGAATTTGGACAAGGCATTTCTCAACTATTTAACGTTCCAAAACTGACTGTGTTTAACTGGATAC